GTCCATAGGCTAATGCTTTGCACATTTGTCCCTGGGGAGTGATGTGGGAAGGTTCTGGAAACTTTAGAAGCTGGGGCCTAGCTGGAGGAAGTAGGTCTCTAGGGTTATTTTGTGCCGATTCCTCTCCTGCCTCATTCTCAGATTCCCAGTGTATAGAAAGCTTCCTCTTTCACATGTGTCCCCCATCCTGAAGCTCTGCTCAAGTGGGTGTGGTTATGTGACCATGGACAGACCCCTCTGGAACTGGGAGCCAAAATAAACCCTTTTTCCTTTCAGTTGCTTTACCTCAGGTATCTGGTTCATAGCAGTGCAAAACCTGGCTAGCGCACTGACCATGTATTGTTTCTTTGTATCTGAGCTTGTGAACTTCTCCTGTTTTATTTTGAAATAAAACATACAGTAAGCTTTGAACCACAAGTTACCCTCCTGTGCTGTAGAAAACTAGAACTTACTCTTCCGAGCTAAATATATTTTGGTACCTGTTTCCCATCCTTCCAACATCCCCCATCGTCTCCCGAGTCTCTATGAATCACTCTTTTTTTCTCAGAAACATTAGTAAGATTTTCTGTTTATTTATTTATTTGTTCATTTATTTATTGTGTGTGTGTGCACATGAGCACGCCACAGCCTGTGGGTGGAAGTCTAGAACAACTTGTGGCAGTTGGATCTTTCCTTCCATCTGTGGGTTCTGGAGATAAACCTCAGGTCATCAGGCTTAGCTGCAAGCACTTTTACCAGCTGAGCCATTTGCTGGCCCAAGTATAGTTTTCAAGGATGGTTAGCCCCCTGTATCCTTGGGTTTCACATCTGTAGATTCAAACAACTGTAAAAGTAGTTTTAAGGCATTTATTATTATTGTATGTGTCTGGGCATGCTGTATGCCTCAGTGTACATGTAGAAGTCCGAGGAGTTCATTGTGAAGTTGGTTTTCTTTTTCCAAGTTTAGGTTGGTTCCAGGCTTGCTATACTAAGCTATCTTGCTGGCCCTAAAATTCAACTTTTAACTGGGCATCTTGCATTTTTTAACCTGGCAACCCCACTTGAACTAAGATGGTACTGGGGAGATGGGGAGTCATGGACAGATTCAAGATATAATTTGATCCTCCACTTCTCAAGACTTGCAAGTATAAGAGCTAACAGAGAGGAGGGACTCAGATTACTGCCTGAAGCAGCTAGCTACTTCCATCACTTGCTGAGATGGTAAAAGGATGGTTGAAATTCAAAAACAACTGTGTTGGTTAAGGACAGTTTGGAACAGCAAAAAGATGATTTAGAATTAAACAAATATGTTGGGGCTCTTGTTTCACAGGAGTCTGAATCAAATTCATGACAATAAGGATGTCCTGGGGCTGGAGAGATGGCTCAGTGGGTAAGAGCACTTGCTGAACAAACATGAGGACCTGAGTTCAAATCCCAGACCCTCACTTTGAAAGCTTAATGTGGACGGTGTGTGCCTGTAACCCCAGTGCTGTTGGAGCCAGACAGGAGGATCACTGGAGCTTGCTGGCTGCCAGTCTTGCTCCACGATCAGTGAGAGTCCCTATCTCAAGGGAATAAAATAGAGCAAAACACCCAGCATCCTCCTCTGGCCTCCACACATATGCAAATGGGCACATCCACCTGCACACACATACACACACAGAAGAAAATCGTTCCTCCCTCCCTCCCTCCCTCCCTCCCTCCCTTCCTTCCTCCTTCCCTTCTGCCTAGGCTAACCTTGAACTCCTGATCCTCCAGTCCTCAGTCTACCAAGTGCTGAGATTACAGATGTGCATGACCTCACTTCACAGGGGTATCTCCTCTTAACATGACTCCAGATTGGAAGCTCTATGTGCTGGCCTGAGTGTACTGCTCAAGAACGAATTCCATTGCAATTAGACCATCAAAGTAAATTTAATTCAATGACCTTATAAAAATTGAGCAAAACTTACATTTGTGTTATAAGAAAAAAATCACACTGCTAAAAAATGATTCAGACAACTGAGCAAAATGAAAACATCTATGCTGAGCTTGAGATGTACGTCTCTGGTGTTTCCACAAAGATACAGTTTTGTTTAATTGCTTTATTTACCCATTAAATGATGCCTGCTCCTAGTGTTGGTTGATAGCATTTTATTCTATACAAGTATACTTAATTACTTATGGACTCAGGTTTCAGCTCTGTCTTTAGAGACGTTATCAAGAGCATGCTGGTTTTCAAGTTTAGTATTCAAGTGAATGTGTAGAAGTTTGTGTCACTCAGCTTTCTTCTTATGGTGTACGTTTTTACATTAAGCAATATAAGTACCTTTACTTGGAAATGTGTTTACTAAATTTGTAATTGTTTTATAATATACTTGAGATATGTCAATTACACGGATTTTTGGATTAATAAAATAAATGACCAAATCTTTCACAAAAGTGTGAGGACCCACCCACATTGGCCCCCCAGCACCTATACAAATGCTGGGTGGGAGTGTTGGCCACTTCTAATTCCAGCACTCAGAGGGTGGAGACTGGGGCTCTCTGGAGCAAGCCAGCTAGCTAGACAAGCTGAACTGGAGGGCTCTGAGTTCAATTAAGAGACACTGCCCCAATGAATATGGTGGAGAGTGATCAAGGAAGACTCCCAACATCAACCTCAGGCCTCCACATGCACACATGTGCACACACACATGAGAGAAAGAAAATATAGCTGCTTATATTCTTTAATCTCATCCTGAATGTTTTTATTTGTCCAATTTTCTTCTTTTAGGATCAATTATTTTTTATAATCTTAAAAAGATTTGATTTCTTTTTATTTCCTGTGTATGAATATTTTGCTTGCATATATGTTCACCACGTGCATACCTGGAGCCCACAGAAACCAGAAGAGGGCTTGATCCCCTGGAACTGGATCTATGGATGGGTGTTAGGTGCCATGTGGGTGCTGGGAACCAAACTTGGGTCTCTGGAAGAGCAGCCAGTGCTCCTAACCTCTGAGCCATCTCTGTAATCCCTTAGGATAAATTCTTGGAAGTGGAATTGCTGAGAGAATTGAGAGTGTGCTGCAATGTCCACTCCAATCAGTCTGTTTGTTGTTAACATCACTACAATGACAAAGATCATAAATGGAGAAGCCATCCAGTTCCTAACTAACTTAGATGTGGGGGCAGAAGGACTTTAATGGTTAACTCCTCTAGAGTTAAAAAAAAATTGGCAGTCCTGAAAATTACTAGCTGTGTGATTTTTGGACATTTCTCAAATTTTTATACTTTGGTTTCCTCGTCTCTACAGTGTTATTATTTATTCAGTAGCTGCTGAGTGCCTACTGATCACCAGCTTTCAAGCTAAGAGTTGATAGTCCACAAAGGAAGGAAGAGAGTAATAAACAGTTGCGGGGCTGGAGAGATAACTCAGTGGTTAAGAGCACTTGCTGCTCTGCCACAGGTCCCTAGTTTGGTTCCCAGCACCCATTGAGTGGCTCACAACTGCCTATATCTCCAGCCCGCTTCTAGCCTTTTTGAGCACATATATGGCAATACATTCACACACACACACACACACACACACACACACACACACACACTGAGAAATAAATAAAATAAATATAAATCTTGAAAAAATTCCCCAATATAAAATTGCAAATTGTGTTATGTGCTATGTCAGATAGACAAGATGCTGGGGGAGTGACTACCTGGGACACTTGGTGGAGTTTGAAACAGGGTAGGAAGACAAGTGAATTCACCAGGTCAAAGTGAAGGGAAAATGTCTCTGAGGAGAGAAGGGCAGGTACAAGGCATTATGAAGATGAAATGCGATGCTATGCCTGTATCAGCATAAAAGCACAACTCTCACCTCACAGAACATGAGAGATAGTTTATTCTGGAACCAAATATGAGTGACCATGGCCAGGGAACACAGATTCAGGTTACTTAAAATTCCATATTCAACTTGGCAAGCAATTTCATGAAGTTTTTATAATAATAGAACAAAGAATAATGAAGACACTTTTAAAATGCATTGGTGGAACTATCAGGTTGGCAGGTTACAGCAAAGCAGGGAATCCTCTGTTCAGGCCTTAGATGCTATCTGATGATATTCTCAGCTTTTGGGTTAGTAGAAGTGAGGATGTCTGTTAACACATTTCAAAAGGTTTCTCCTGATAGCCACAAGGATGTTAGGTCAGACACAGAGGTGAACAAGAAATGGCTACTTAGGAGGCTGAGGACAGCCCCCAAAATTGTAATTATGCTCTGGACCTGTACCACTCCAACTACTCCACAATCATTGACGTTCTAATCAGTTAATCAGCCTTACAGAAGTTTCAGTGCTTCTTTCTAGAACTTTCATTCACAGCCACCTTACTGCACTTGAGCTTGTAGTTCTTTCTGGAAATCCCTCATGATCTTCCATGGCTGGTTTTTCTATTTATCTTGTTGTTTAAATGACATCTCTTTAGTCAGGACTTCATGACCATCTTTAATCATCAATAGGCTCTCCCATGTTAATCACTTTGTGGTTTCGCTTTGTTATAGTTACAGTTTAAAACTCTATTTTTCCTTCAATGTACATTTTAAGATGGCAAGGATGTTTGTTTTTGTGTAGTGTGTGTGTAGAGTTAAATACTAACTTTAGGCCAGCAAGATGGCTCAGAGGTTAAAGGCACTTGCTGTCAAGCCTGACGACCTGGGTTCTGTCCCTGCGACTCACATGATGGAAGGTGAGAACGAACTCCCGAAAGTTGTCCTCTGACTTCCACACGGTGCACGACGCAGGCGCGCGCGCACACACACACACACACACACACACACACACACACACACTACATAAAATGCAGTAAAAAACAAAAACCACATCTTTAAAAAAAATAAATAAACACGCTAACTTCCTTTACGTCTGACTTCTATTTAGCAGTCACTCAAGGCCGGTTTGCTGAATGAAGAAAACTGGGGCGCACGTGGCAAATGCCACAGACAGTAAAGCAGAGGAGTGTGGCTGCCCTCACCGGAACCTAAGAGCCGCAGCGACTGCGGTTTCCGGCTGGGGGCGGACATTTTCCGTGAAGGGACCGTCCGGCGGCTCCTAGCTGGCCTGAGCCGGACACGGAGGCCCGGGAGCGGCCAGCATGGATGACCACAGCCTGGAGGAGTTCCGCCAGCGATGGCAGGAGGAGCTGGCGCAGGCACAGGCTCTGAGGAGGCGGCGGCGGCCCGAGGCCGGGGAGCGGCGGGCGCGGAGGCCCGAGGCGGTGGTGGGGCGCGGCGAGCAAGCCCCAGGGTACCTGGCGCTGGCGCAGGGCCTGCTGGAGGGCGCTGGCCGGCCCCCGGCGACCAGGCCGGGCAGGGCCGAGAGGAGGGACGCGGCCAGCCGCTCCCGCTCGCCCCCGGGCCGTGATGCCTCGGCGCCCGGAGAGCAGCTGGTCGACCAGCTCATCCGCGACCTGGTGAGTGGCGGGCGTCTCCCGCCGAGGCCCCCAGAGCCACCCCCTCATCTTGTTGCAGTGTAACTTTCTCTGTGATGACGGGGGTGATGGACGGGAGCACACCTGTCACCCTGCACGTCCTGGCTGTCTCTCAAGTGGTTGTGGTTCTCAACTGGGAGCTGCTCTGCAGATTGGGCAGTGTCTGCGGGCATTTTGAGGTGTTAACAGGTGTGTGCAGGCTCCTGGGCATGCAGTGGTAGAGGAATGTTCGGGAACAACTTATAATGCTCAGGACAGACACATAATCTACCCATACTGTCAGCACACAGAAGCTTGAGAAACCCTGCTCTAGAAAGGACCTTAAACTTTAACAAGAGGACCCAGGAATAGCCTTCCTCTGTATACTATTTGTATTTAAATTTTCTAACTGCTTGTGTTACTTAAATAAAACTTAAAACAGAGGAAAACAGGAGGAAGAATCCTTTGGTCAATACCTTTGAAGTTCTTTGCTTTTGAAGGATGAGTCCCTTGGAGAATTTGAAGGAAGCTGGAGGCCCTCTCCCCATATAGTCCCTTCACCAATTTGGGAGAACTGAGTTCACCTGACACAAATCCATGGCTCCGGATTAAGAGTTAGGCTGAAAGAGAAGGCTTTATAATTTAATTCAGGTCAAGTGCAAAGAAAACTTCCAGAGCTTTCCAATCAGGAGTTCTCTAAGTGGAAGTTGTTTCAAGAAACAATGCATAATTTTACATAATGTATACTTTAACATTAGTAGCTTCTATTTTGAATTTCTCTTTCTCAAAACCAAGTGTCTTGTCCTGCAGTCTGCCCTGATTCTAAAACAACCACCCTGTGAGGTAGATATTAACTCCTTTTACAGATGGAGAGACTCAAAGACCACATTTTCTACAATTGTTGTGGAGTGCTTCACCAGAGAAGACCACTCAGATAAAGTTTTGCTGAATTAAAGTCTTGCTGGCCAGCAGCTACACAAGGGTGTCAGAACCCAAGTGTGTAGCCTGAGCCATCTCTAGGGTAAACTTTTATACAGAGAAACCATAACCGGGTGAAAAGTTTAAGTTCTGAAGCTTACAGGTGCAAAGCCCCCTTAACAATTTCTATTCTCTTAAGCAACAGTTACTATTTTGCCGAAGCAAGCAAAGCATAACCTACAGAAGCCATAAATCTGCAGTTAGTAGGTGTGCTGAGGAACATGCTGACCTGTTCCCAGGACAACTGGGGCCCTACTGACGTGTGTTCCCATACCCTGGGCCAACTGCCTAATAATTTCAGAGGCTGGAGTCAGCCTAAAGTTAACATGGTGTAGCTATGGTCAAGAAGGTACCATATCACACAATTTACCCAGGGTTATTTAGCTGATAAATCCTGGGTATTGAAAAAGGATTCATGTATTTTAACTTAGCTAGGTGAAACTTGAGGTGGCCTCCCTGGAGGCCTTGATAGACAGGTTCCTGGGTCCTCCCAGACCCACTGAATCTGTTGCCAAGGGAAGGGTCTCCATGTCTGATGTTTGGGATAATCAGGAAGTTTAAGATATAGTTCTCAGCAATCCCACTTCTGTTGGACCTTAAGTCCTTATCCACATGGCTTTCTAGCCTAACATTCAGGCAACAATCCCTAAATTAGTAGAGAAATAATTCACGTGTTTTAGAAAGGAAGGGGGAGTGTCCAGGCGCACCAGAATCCTAAGCTCCGTTGTAGCTGGAAAAAGCCTGCCCTGGGTCTCTGGGCTGCTCACTGATAGGCTCAGTGGCTTCAGACCCATCCCATAAGGTACTACTAAGGTCTCCAGTGAGCAGTACCCAACTTGGGGGCACCTCATTTTTTAAAAAAAAAAATACTCTCCAGTCATCAGTAAAATGCCCATATGTGCTTGCTTACTCTTTCCCTGGTTCCTTCCCTCCCAATCAGGGCCTTGCTGTATAGTTTAGGCTGGTCTCAAACTGTGTGTATGTGGGTATGTGGTTGCACCTGCAGATGTGTGCATGCTTGGCCTGCATGCGGAGGTCAGTCCTCAGGCATCTTCCACCTTGTATGTTCTAGAACTTTGGTGAGTAGGCCAGGCTGACTGAGCTTCCAGGGATCTTTCTAGCTCTGCTTCCCATCTCAGCATTGGTGGGAGTACAGGCATGCATCATTGTACTTGGATTTTCATGTAGATCCTGGGGATCTGAACTCAAGTCCTCAGATGTGCTGGGCAAACACTTTATTGCCTGAGCCATCTCCCCATCCCTGGCCTCAAGCTTTTGATCTTCCTGCTTCCACCTACTGAGTCTGAAATTGCAGGCATGAGGTGGGTGCTGTCTGACAGGTTCAGAGACATTATCTTCTTCAGTGATCACAACAACTCTCTCCGGTGGCTAGTTTCAACCCTTCTTGGTAGCTGGGCATTAGGGAAATAGCCTGTTTTTGAAGGGACAGCAGACCCATCCTGTATCTTTAGTCTGAGACAGGTAATGTTTATTTTTAAAAAAAGACTCATCTAAAAAAAATGCCTCTTTCAGTGGGTGTGAGCCCCAGAGCTCACGGGATCAGATGGTAACACGGTGAGTGAAACAAGGCAGATGTTGAGTATGCGAGTATGTAATTATTGTGGTGTTTTCTTACATACCTTTCCAGACTCAGTTTTGTGTTGATTCATTTTATAGAGGCAACCAGCATTAAATATGTAATGTAGGAATCATTTTCCCCCAAATGTTCAGTTTTATTTATTTAAACAAAATTCATACATGGTATGAATAAAACAGTTCTATGTCCCAGTATGTTCAGTGGGCAAAATACATATTACATTCAAGAAGCAAATTTTTGTTGTTTATATATGTGAGAGTTTTGCTTTTTCCAATGGAATCACCTTTCTTGAAAATTGTCTTTTTAAAGCTTTTTAGTCACACTTTGAAGTATACAGATCCTAACTGCACAGCTTGATGCATTTTTCTAGAGCGTGCTTATGCATATCAGCAATACCTGGATCACAGAACTGGATTCCTAGCCTGCCAGTACTGTTCTCTCTTCATGCCTGGGTTCCTATCCATCCTGGGGTGATCACTCACCTGACTTCGAACACTTGAGCTGCATATGAGTGGCATCAGGCAGTATTATTTCATCTGGGCTCTTGTGCAGGGCACTGAGGATGAGAGGATCCCAAGGAAAAATGTTTGATTCACTTTTGATGGTACCTTGAGAATGTGAATGCAGTGTACCCACATCTTTACCTTACCCCAGGTGACACAGGCAGCTGGTTTGCTCCTTGTGTGGCTGAGATGATAGACAGGGACACCCAAGAGTAGGTGTCATATCTGGGCTGCCTACACCACACCAGTTGCTTGCTACTGCTAGGAGTGTGGTCTCAGCATTGTAAGTTCTTTAGGTTTTTAAATTTAGAAACTGTGTGTCCCTATGTGTCCCTATGTTTTCCTGTATGAAAACATCCACCCAGATGTCTAGCCTAAAGCAACACCATTTATTCAGTGCACTGTCTGCAGGGTGGGTAGCATGGGCCGAGTGGAGTTGGCATCTGTGTCTGCAGGTAGTTGCTAATTACCTAAGCAGCTCTGCTTCTGAGGGTTGGCTAGTGTATGTGTATTTCTGCCTGTCTGTGAGTCTCAACCAGCTGATGGGCCTTCTCAGAGTTAGGATAAGCCCCACTGCTTTTGAAATCTCTACCAAAGTCATTTTCATTGCTACTACATTGATCAAAACAAGTCATCTGGAATCTGTGGATTTATTCAACTGCCTGAATACAGGGGAGCATGAACAGATCAGAGGCTGCTGTTACGACAGTTTGCCCCACAAACTTCCCATTTTGATTGTTGGTAATGAATACAACAAAAGTAATAATGCAGATGCCAACACCACAAGTTAAAGTCTGTCTGGGTAGGATCTGCCTTTGCTCTGTGTCTTCTCAAGAGTCACTGACCCATGAGCAACTCCTGGAAAGGAAGGTTTAATTCTGCTGGGATTCCCTGGAAGGAAGCTGATAGGGGCTGATGCAGCAGAGGTGGGATATGAAAGTCTAGCCTACCTTCCAACCCCTCTTAGCCTATGGCAACTCTGTTATACTAGCTTGTGTCCTGTGTTTTTGCTTTGGTTTGTTGTTGAGATAGGGTCTCGTGTATCCCAGGCTTGGGTTGAACCTGTGTAGCTGAGGATGACTTTGAACTTCTGATTGTCCATCCTCCACCAAATGCTGGGAGTACAGGTACGTGTCACTACACCCAGTTTATGTGGTGCTGGGAAGGAACCCAGGGCTTGCTAGGCAAGGCAAGCACTCTACTAATGGAACTGCATCCCCAGCCCCCTGTCATATCTTTGGCACAGTCTCCTCCACTGCAATATCATCTCTAGTTTGAGAGCAACTAGATTATCAACTGAGAGAATTGCCTTTTACTGGGCATGGGATCAGCCACTTGAGAATATCTTTCAGCTGGGCATAGGCCAGAACCTTTGATGGACAAGCACAGCTGAAGAAAACTTAGAAGTGCCTTCTCTGGAGCCTGGTCTTGTGTGAGGTTTTTAATAGTTAGCGCTTAACCACCTCACTTGAAGGGGGTAGTGACTTGAGAATACCTAAATTGGCAGTTGGCAGTATAGGGATAAACCAGTGGAAGGAATTGAATGCCCCAGTCAGAATTCCAGAGGCAGCTGGCATCCCCCTCCCCTCCTTAGGGACAGTAGTGCCATCCAAGTATAATTGCAGGTATGTTTACTTATGGGATTGTGACAGCCAGTGACTTGGTCCCATTTACTAAAAAATATTTTTAAATTTTTTATGTGTCTGAGTGTATTGCCTGCATGTATGTAAGCATATCTGTGTTGTGCAATGCCCACGGAGGTCAGAAGAGGGTGTCATATACCCTGGAACTAGAGTTATAGACAGTTGTTAGCTGCCATGTGGGTGCTGGGAATCGAACCCAGGTCCTCTGCAAGAGCAGTCAGTGTTCTTTTAACAGCTGAGCCATCTCTCCAGCTCCCCATTTTTAGTCTGGTGGTATATCAC